CCCGCTGGCAGCTTCCCAAGTTCAGGGAGGCCTTTCGAAACGCCTTCACCTGCCAGCTCGCCCCTGCATGGGAGGAGCAGTGGCCACACACCTGAGCAACCCCCGGCCTTGGAGGGAGCCCTGCGATCGGGAGAAGGCCCTCTGAGCACTCCCCGCTTGCGGCTCACCTGCACCCCCATTTCCTCCACCTCTGCTCTCTCTCACACATGGGGCTTTGTCTTTTTCTGATTCTTCTCACATCCACGTGGACGTGTTTCAGCCGGACAAGTGCCCTTGCTGGGACTCGTCACTGAGGCTATTGCGCCAAGGTCCTGGCCACCGCTGGCCACCACTGTTTCTCCTTCCATCACACATTCACCACTTTCCGGGCTGGCGGCCCTCCAGAGGCAGGGACAGCCAGCAGCCACGGCCGTGCCCTTGGGACTCAGCGTGCTGGGCCGCCCGTGCAGGAGGGGCCCCCAGGGGGGAGGCAGCAGCTGCTGGCTGCTCAGGCAGACTTGTCACCCCGGCCAGCCCGCTCTGCTCCATCCTTCCGTCTGTGCCGCACCGCGCGAGAGCACGGCGGGAACCCCTCGTGTCTCCTCTCCAGCCGTACCACGTGCCCCCAGAAGGGTCAAAAGGAGCAGTACTCACAGATGTGGCGGAAAGCAGGCCAAAGCTGCAGAGTCACCACAGTCTGTGGCAAAGCTGAACTGAAAGCGACGGAGGGCTGCGTGAGGGACGGGGGGAGGATGTGTGTCAGCAGAAGCACCATCCCATGTGCTCGGTTTGACTCATCGTGAACGCTTCCCTACCTGTCGAGGCTTGCGGTGCATCAGGCATGGGGCCCGCAGGCGACATGCCTGCCGTTCTGGGCCAGGAGGCTTGGCAAGCTGTGGTCTTCTGCATGTGCAGAACTCAGAAAGGAAATGTTTGCGAAGTTAAGCCCTGCTGTTACAACACCTTTCCTTCCTTCCTTCCTTCCTTCCTTCCTTCCTTCCTTCCTTCCTTCCTTCCTATCTTGCGTGGAGGCCTTGCTGGCTGAGCCCCAGACAATGGGGAGGGAGAGCAGGGGAATTGTTTGTTTGTTTGTTTCTGAGCTTCGCAGTTGCCCTGGGACTCGGCCAGATCCGTGAAAGTGGGGTTTGTGTTCTCTTTGCCCCTCTTGTGTCAGGTTCAGATCTGTGGAAAAGAAACAGCAAGTTTTTTTTGGGGGGGGGGGTTTCCTGGGTAACTGAGCAGTTGTTTAGCCATCTGTCAGGAACTGGTTCTGACAAATGTCACTGTGAAAGAGAAATTAGTAGCAAAGGCAGAGCGTCTCGGCTGGGCTGGTGAGCAGAAGAGCGAGAGAAAGATGGAGCAGCAGAGGAAGTGAAATCCTCTTCTTTTTGTTCTTTCAGGAAATGAAATAAGCAGATTGATGAGTGACTCACAGAGGGGAAGAAATTGTGCCATGGTATGTCCCACTCTGGGAATCTCTTTGTGCTTGCCATGGAAAACGTCTTGCTTGTGTTATATTTCTATTACGCTTCAAGCAGTTTGCAGAAAAAGCGGACCTGTGGGAGACATTTGCTTTGGCTTATTCACTTCCTGCATTTCTCTGCTTGCACCTGGGCGGGCTGCTCACACCTGGCTTGCAACATGCATCTTTCACGCAGGCATTTCTACCTTTTGGGAGCCAAGGGACTCTTATGTCATCTCTGGGAATGGAAGGCTGCTGTCCTTGCAGCGCCAGCAAAGCTGATGCTCGGTGGAGGGACATGGCCCTCCGATGCCTGACTAGAGATTAGTCCAACGTTTTTGCTATCTGTCCACGGCAGCAACGCAGCATTGGACAGGCTTTGAAATATGGCCTAGAAAAATAGTTCGAAACAGAGCCAGTAAAGCAGAAAGGAGTTGGAGCTTTTCCAAGCAGCCTTGTGCGTGAGCAAAGTTGTTGCTGGAGTTGTGTGTGCGTGTGCACGTGTGTGCCAGGCCGTGTGCAGGGCGGGCGGGGGGGGGGGGACTAAACCTGCTAGGACTGCCATGGTCTCCTACCCTTCCCTACCTCATTGTGCTCACCTTGAATGCTTGTGAGCAAATGGATAGTAAGAAAATGGCCCAAGTTTCTAGTCCTCACAAGGAAATTGCCTCCATCCTACGGCAAGCCCTTCTTCAGTGAATGTGAAAGAACTTGTTTTGAGACTAAGAAGATACCTAGGACCAATGACTTGCACAGAGATCCCTCTTTGGACTGATTTCAGAAGCTTAGTGTCACTTCCCTTTATTGTCGAGGAGGGTTGTTGGCAGAAACCCAGAAGGGAAGTACACACGATCAGATGAGCAAAGCTCCCAGAAGGGAACAATACCAAAGGTGGGAGTATCCTGACATTTTGGACGCTTCTGGGGAAGAGCATTGTTTGCGCTCTTGGCCTGCAGCTGGGAAAAAGAGAAGAGACAGCCGGGTTTAAAAATAACCGCAACCTAAGTCAGAGCAACGTTAGGAGGTGACAGAGAGGCACCAAAGCAGCTCGATGCCTGGGAGACCCCACCCCGCCTTGCGTGCAAAGGAGCCGTTTCCTGCTGGTTTCTGCTTCCCCTTTGGTGCACAACTGCTCCGGCCGGGGCCTCACACAGCCAAGCTGCACACCAACTGCGCCTGAACCCGCGTGCAGCTGGGTTTAACAGAAGCCAACCGGCCACATCTGGGAAGCCGCCATCTCCTCACCCCAGCCTTGCAAGCATTTTATGAAATGTTTCCTGCTTCGCTTCACGTGCTTTTGGGAGCAAACACCTGATTTGTTTAATTTGCGTGTGCAAACGCCTCAAACCCCCATGTGACGCTGAGCAGGGGTTGCCAGAGGAAGAGCAGGCAAAACGCTTGACTATCTTGTACGTTATTGTTTAAAATGGCGTTTAGCCCAAGCGAGTATGTGCAGCGCAGCCTGGCCATCTTCTTGACATTCATTCCAAGTCCAAATAATTACAGCATCTGCCATGAGCTTATGTTTACATTAAACCTGGATGGGTGGTTCTTCCGATACTTCCGATCCTTGGAGCAAGGGCTGACAAGCAAATTTCTCTCGGGCTTTGAGGCTTTGCCGCTTCAGTATTTCATTTAGAATATTTCAGAGAAGGACTTTAATGTGACTGAAACGGGGGAGACACAGAGTTAAATTAAGTCTCTGTAAAGTCTCAGACCGTGATCTGCTAAATAGCACAGGAGCATTTTTTTTTTTTTAATTTATATCCTGCCTTTTTCCTACAAGGGGCTCAAGGCAGCTTACATCATTCTCCTCCTCCATCTTATCCCCACAACAACAACCCTGTGAGGTAGGTTGGGCTGAGAGTCTGTGACTGGCCCAAAGTCACCCAGTTGGCTCCATGGCTGAGAGGGGACTAGAACCCAGATCGCCTGAGTCCCAGTCCCATGCTCTTAACCACTACGCCACACTGGCTCTATATGCCCACCTTCTGCTAAATCAGACCTTGCTCCACCCAGACCTCTCCAGGGTTTTCTGGCAGACGTTTCTCCAGCTCCACCTGGAGAGGCCAGGACTGACCCCACAAGCACCTGCTCAGCCACCAAGCTAAGGTGAAGCTGATCCCAAACGCAGTGAAGGAGACGCTCCCTGGGCAGGATCAGTTTCACAAAGCTGATCAGGGCACAGGAGGCCTCCCAGAGAAAACAGTTGGCAAGCTTTGTTGCCACCTGTTCCTCTGTAAGGTATGCTCTGTCGGGGACAAGGGAGAAAGTTTGGGGAGAAGAGGGTGTCCCCATGGCCCAAAACTCCTCTTCTCCCCTTGATTTATAGCAACGTTTTTTCTTTGTTCAAAACAAGACCTTGTTTTTCCACTGTTGTTCAGAAAGGTAAAAGTATCTGGGCCAAATCTCTCTCTCTCTCTCTCTCTCTGTGGTTTCTCCCCCTGTGCAAGAGGGAGCCACGAGTGCAGCCAAGCCAGCTCACAGCCGGACGCCACAAACACTTGTGTCGCAAGTGCCTGGGTGTGTTGTTGCCGTCCCACCCTGCTGGCGGCGGCCCAGCGGCTGCAGCAACGCGCGAAGTCCGCGGTCGGAGGGAGACGGGCGCTCGGGCGAGCACCTCCCGCGCGTGTCCGCCCCCTTGTCAGCCACCGGCCGTCGCCAGTTGACTTGCACCCGGGGCGAAAACAGACCTTACTTGAAATGTGTGTCGAGCACAGTTTTCCCCCAGAGCATCTGCATTGGGTATTTGCTTCAGCCCTGCCTCCACCCACTCCTTCACCTTCCCTTTCCCACACGCCTCTCCTGCCGCCTCCCTCTTTCGGTGACCCTTCCCGCCCCGCTGGTGTGGCCCACCTCGAATAAGGCCCGGCCCTGTTTAGCCTTGGCTCGGCAGCTCCATGGAGGGGCGGTGGGGGCTGTTCCTGCCATTTTGAGCAGAAGCACCGCATGGGCCAGGTGAGTCTGAGCCAGGTAGCACAAGTGCCCCAACGCCACCCTGATGCTCCAGTTCCAGCCCTTGGCAAAGGCAGCCTGGCAGCCCGAAACGTGTTCAGCAGGTGTCTGGAGAAAGAAGAGAATGGGAACGGGACCGTCTCTTGTACCCTACAAGGGAAAATGCCTCTGGATTTATCGGACAGGCAGTGGGATCTGTCGGTTCAAAGGCAGACTGGGGACATTGCGGTGTGTGGAGAAAGGACAAGATGGGCTACACCTGCCTTTCCAGTTTACTCCCTCGGGCAAGAGACGACTTTGCAGCTTGCATAACATTTAAGGGCCCAAATAATGGCAAAGTGGCCCCATCGATTTCATGCCATGCAGATTTTCTCTAGGACAAAGAACAGCTGGCAAAGATTCCCTGTTCTGCAAGGTGTACAGAAATGGCATGAAAGACCCCACCTTCCTTTGCACCCAGAGCCCTCATCTCAGATAGAGAAACTCACAGCAAAAATGGAAGTTTAGAGCAGGAGAGTCCGTGAAAGAAATGTAGCCATCTAGAGGAATCATACAGAAATAAGATTTTATTTATTTATTTAGAAAATTTAGAAGATTTGGGCACATTGAGGGAAAATACTGTCAGTCCAGGACACAGCGACAGTTAGACGGCTGGGTGAGCATCGTCGTTTGGCGAATGGCCCGTTTCCAATATTCAAAGTACTGGGTCATACCGATAAGCCCTTTCACGCCCCGTCCAGAAACACTAAAAGACCACTTCCATGTTTACTGGTATTTATGTTAATTCTCCTCACTCCAGTCCGCAAGCTCCCAGGGCATTTTACGCGCAATCAGTGAAACGACACAGTCCTTTCCCACAGGCTGGCAAACTAAAGACATCACACCTGGAAGGAGGCGTGTGGGGGGAATGAAGCGTCCGTTCAGGGGGGTGATAGACCAGTCCTGCCTCTCCTTACAGCCCTTCTCCAGCCTGCCGGATGGCTGGTGGGCTCCCAGGTCATCCTGCCCCCATCCTACGAGGTGGTGGAGAGGCCCTTCTCTGCATGCCCACATGCCTGGTTGCCCAGTGGGTTGAGACAGGCGGGATCCCTGGTCCGGAGCCACCCAGAGCTGGGAAGCCCTCCCTTGGCAGCTCCTTCTCGGTCAGGCGAGATTCTTCTCCTTTGCTGGACTTCCCATGCTTTTTGGAATGTATATGTCGAATCGCCTGTCATGCTTTGAATTAAGTGTGGGTCATTCTGTTGTGCTCAGAATGTAGCTAGAGGTCTCCAGAACCTCTTGAAAAGCAAGGCGTAAGCGGTTGCAGTCGGCATCAAGGTTATTCCTCCCCTCCGTTCCCGGTCCTGCGCCAAAGGCCCAGCTAGACCGGAAGCCGCGTTTGTGGCAATGGCAGTGAATTCTCTGCAGCTGCGTGTGATCAGGGGCCGGGCGAGCCCTTTGTGGACCATCCTCGTGAGACCTCAGAGTCGGAAGCGTCGCAAGGCAGGCCCGAAAGGCTGGGGATGAACACAGGGCGCCTCTCATCGAGGGGAGCACCAGGCGTCAGCGCAAGCAGCCCAGGTTTACTGCAGGGCGGCACAGGGGATGCGGGGCCCAGGCGCTGCTTGGCACCCCGGATCCTGTGCTTGGCCTCCTGCCCGGCTCTCTGCCTCTTCCGTCCAGCGGCCGGACGGTGGTCAGCCAGTCACTGAAACCTCCGCGGAGCTGCTCTGGTCTGTGCGCAGCCCGTTCCTGCCCCGATCCCTCGTTGGAAATCCAGCTGGGCATAGCACAGCTCTTCCTGTGTGGCGAGGGGGAAGTGCAGTGAGCTGACAGAGCACTGAGCATCGCCCGCGCTTAGGCTTGGCATGCATGATTTTTACAGCCCCGAGAGCAACCCCCACCCCAGCTCAACTGGGACACGGCCTGGGACGGGGGTGCCTCTGTTTCTGCTGCAGTGCTGCTTGGAATCAGCCCTTCCTCACATGCCTCCCAGGGTGTCCAGGTGCCCTCCATTACAGAGGAGCATCCTCGCTTGGAAGGTGTCTTCTGTTTGACAGACAGTCCCGCTGGTTCCAGTTTGGAGACTGAGGGTCCCCGGGACTGTGGCCTGGCGCCGTTGGGCCAGCCAGACACACAGGTCGCCTCATCGCAGCCCTTCCATGCTATAGTGAGATGTGCAGTACTTTTATCTAAACTATAATAGCTCTTTATTAGCGTGATTAAATCATTGTTCTACTCTTGGGTGGTGTAGAAAGACTTTTAAAAAATCCCAACTCTGCATTTACAGCAATATAAGTCAGTGCGTGAGAATGAGCTTTAATTCGGCACCCCGCCTGCACCCTCTTTTCCGGCAGTCCGTGGGCCCACTCCTAGCAACCCCTCTGGTACCCCACTCCCGGGATACTTACAGAGACAAATAAAGAAACCAGAGACCCGTACCTGTGGTGCATCTGCAGACGGCGGCTCGGTGCCCGAGCACTGGGACCCTAGTGGATCAAAAGGGAGTGTGGAGAAGAATAAGAAAAGCAGACCAGGAAGGGCTATTTTTCTACTCTGAACTTGTTGCTGCCACCTTTGCCGTTTTCTCTGGAATTGTCAGCTTTGCTTCGTGCAGGAGTTTCACTCAGACAATCTAAACTGTGTCAATGCCCAACTGACTCCTGGCAATTTTTAAAACTTTGGATGCGGCTGCAGCACCGTTCTGTCCCACCCTCTCCCAGAGAGTTTGGTTTCTGGCGTACCGCGGCAGCACATGAGCATAGCTGAATATTTGCTCTGCCCTATGTTCTGTCCTGGGTGTTGCTCTGTTGTCTGATGGAAACCCTAAACTGAACACTGACAAAGCTCTGCTGAGCACTTTCAGTGGGAGGAGGAAAACCAGGGGCGGAGAGGAAATGGCCTGTTGGAAAGGCAGTGTGGCTGGCAGAGAACATGGAAAGGCCACTTGAGGTCTGGTGGGAACAGAGTTAGGTGGCTGCTTGCCTGGGATCCCGTAGTTCATGACCCTGCATCACGAGAAGGCTGGACTAGATGACCTCTGAGATCCCTCCCAACTATAAAACTTCCAACTCCAACTGAATGAGGGTTCCTTCATTACAAAAACTAGGAAATAGCTAAATAGTCGGGCCAAAGTCAAAAGAATTGCCGCACAGAGGAGCTAGGTTGGCTCTCAGTGCCCCACAGAGCCACCATTTTAGTCTCGCCGCCCCCCGCCTCCCCGGATTGTGGAAAAGGGTACTCCCATGGCCCAGAAGTCCCATCATGTGGAAGCGCCTGGAAAACTGTGCCAAGCCCAGGCTGAGGAGCGGCTACAGAGGCATGAGATGAACTGACAAGCCCAAAATGCAGGCCCTGAACTCCTCAGGCATCGCTCAGTTTAGCTTGGTGGTCTTACACGAATCAGTTCCGGGGGTCCTGGGGGATCCCCTGGAAAGGAACCAGGAGTCAACCTGCAGCATGCATTTGCCTCCTCCCCAGCCCAGGAACGCAACCGCTGCCATGGGTCCTGTTCAGGTTTTCCTGGACGCAGAGATCCTGGCCCAGGGAAGCATCCAATGCTAGAATAGCCTCTTAGCAGGAACAGGGTGGAAATCGGTGGATTTGCTTGAGTCTCACCCCTTCCAGGGGTCTTCCATGCACAGGACCAGCACTGGTGGCAGCCTGTCGCTTCCAGAGCTGCCCTGGATCCCCAGGAGGTGATTCTGGGCCCTACCTGGCCTGGAGAGGCAACCTGTTGCTTCCAGAGCTGCCCCGGATCCCCAGGAGGTGATTCTGGGCCCTACCTGGCCTGGAGAGGCAGCCTGTCGCTTCCAGAGCTGCCCCGGATCCCCAGGAGGCGATTCTGGGCCTTACCTGGCCTGGAGAGGCAGCGTGGCTTCCAGACGAGGCTCAGGAGCAGCAGCAGCAGCAGCAGCAGCCCAGCCACAGCCAGGGACACCACATAGCTTATGCAGTCCTCTGCAGAGGAAGCTGTGGGAGAGGAGGCCACAGAGGGTGCTGGCTCGTGGGCCGCTGCAGCCCCAGGACAGCCCAACCCCTCCGCCTGGCTCCCCGCCCCGGGTTCAAGCTACGGCCAAGGGCACGGAAAGGAGCCACGGAACTGCGGCGACACTGGCAAGAGCGGCTTTGCCGCCGGTCACACGGCTCCGCACTGTCTTCCTCTGCATGAAGCGGATGCCCAGAACCCGCCAGACAAGCAAAGGAAATGGGGCAGAGCTCCCTTGCCCTAGGCCGAAACAGCCGTTCGCCTCCCCTGCCCTGGTCGTGCGTCCGGCAGTCTCCGGTCAGAAAGCCGAACCGCCATCCAGTCTCGAGAACTTCGGCCAGGCGTGGCTTGCAACGGTGGGCCAGGTCACTCACCGGCAGGGAGCCAGCCGCTCTTCTTCACACTGCTCCCAGAAGCATTGAAGCGGACCTCGCAGGCGACGCTCCCCCCGCTGAGGTGCGCATTGGCGGGGACGTGCAGGAGCTTGAGGAAGGTCAAGGAGCCGCTGCTGTTTTTCACCAGGAGGGTCCGGCTGCCCCGCTGGGGACCTTCAGGGGTATGCCAGGAGACTTGGACCAAGTTGGAGACCCCCTGGACCAGGCAGGCAAGGGGGCTGTGCCGCCGGAGCAGGGCGGGGGGCTCTCCAGCGGGGGGCTGCAGAAGCGTCACCCGGGTGCTCGGCGTGTAGCTGTCTGCTGAGAGATCGCTCCGGTTACAGGTGGCTCAGCAAAACTGGCCCTGTCCAGAGCAGCCTTCGAAATTCTTCCTGCTGCTTTGATGTTTTCTGAGGAACCTCAGCTCTAAGCCCAGTACGGACTCCCCAAGGAGCAGCCAGGCATGGAAGACAAACGACCCCCAGGGCCCGCCTCCCATCGGCAGCAATCACCTTGCTCTGCAGAAGCTGAGCAGGCCAAGGCAGCCTCTGAAAACATGGAAAGCCCAGGGAAGTCCTTGGAAGGGGAGAGGGAGCTGTGGCTGGAATGACCCAGCAGGGTGGTCAGGTTCAGCAGATGCCCGAGGCTGGCTGGAAGTCTGGTGAGCAGGAGCCACCTCAGCGCCAAGGGTGGCAGCTGAACCTCCCCGAAGTCTGGGAAATGGGCACACACCCTACGTCACCCCCAGGCTCCTCTGGAGCTGGGCCGGGAGCCCCCTCCGTGCAGGGAGAGGCCATGGGGAGGGAGCCCCTTTCTGCCTGCACTCGCTTGGGGGCCTTGAGCTCATGGGCGGGGTGCCGGCCTGTGTTTTCTCTGCAGTGCTCGGCTTGGCTCACTTACCCCCAACGATCAGCGAAGAGCCAAGATAGATGCCACGATCTCTCATCGCGCACAGATATTGGCCTGAATCAGTCACTTGGGCGTCTTTGATTTCCAGGATCAACATTTGTCCTTCTCCTCTGCAAACATATCTGCTCACAGTCTTGATCTCAGGGCAACTGTAGACTAGGAGGGGAACCGCGTCCTCTTTTCTCTTGTGCCAACTAGCGAAGTACCCAGGGAGTTCAGCTTTCTCTGCATAATTGCAGCAGATCTTTGCCTTGTCCCCGATGTTCACAAACTGGAACTGCCGGGTGGGACACTGCAGCAACCGGGCTCTGAGCACTGCGAAGACACAGCGAGGACTGTTCAGGATGGGTGTCCTCGGCCCATTGTCTCCCACCAAAAGCCTCTGGAAAGGCTTGGAGGTGGCCTGAGAACCTCCACGCCTTGCCAGAAGGTTTGCCCACATTCTCCTGGCAGGTTGGCGAGCCTCAAGCACCTGGCAAACTCAGCAGCCAAAGAGGAAGAGCCGGAGAGAGCCAGGGAGCAACACTCACCTGCGGAGGCGAAAACGATGCACGTGGCCAGCAGCATCGTGGAAGCGCTGGCAGCCCATGGAACGGGGACCCAGCTCTGGCTGCAGCTTCAGGAGGGGTGCAAACGTGGGCTGGCTGCTCGAGAGGGAACACCTCCTGGTGGGCGGCTCGGCAGGGAGAGCTCAGAGAAGCCCTCCCTCTGAAGCAGGGCAGCACAGACGGCTCAGCCTGCTGCCTCCAGCCAGGCTCCCTCCCACTGCCAGCGGGGCCAGGGGGCCGTCTGGATGCCCCCAGGGCAGGTTTGATTCAGGCCGGCTTCTTCCCTTCCCTTCGCTTTTGCATTTGTTGGCACGGAGCCGGAGTTGCATGTCCGCCAGCAGGGAGACCTGTAGCTGCCCAGAAGCACAGACTGGCAGGTACTTGAGGGGCCGACAGCTGGCTCCCTGTCACTGTTGGACACAAGCTGGGGAGGGTCTGGATTTCTGCAGGTGGTCTGCTGAAAAGCGCTCTGCTTGCCTGTTTGAGAAGAAGACACCAAGCGGCCTTTCTGGAAACCCCCCAGGACAGAGGCAGCCGTCATCTCTGCAGCCAGCAAGTTGCCAGGGAGATGCCACTGCTCTGGCAGGCCCCCTCCAGACGGCTGAAGGGACAAGAGATGCTCTTCCATGTTGCCGGGATGGTTCTGCTCTCTCTGCGCAGTAAGTGTTCCTGAAACCTGACCTGTTTCCCAGTCCCCCACCCTCCTCCAAAAATACCAAGGAGCAGAGGGCCTTTCTGACTCCGCTCTCTAGGCTGCCATCCCAAACATGCTTCCCAAGGGAGCAAGTCCCGCTGATCCCAGGGACACCTGCCACCGAGTAAGTGTGCAGGTCTGTGCCACATGTTCTGAGCAGTCCCGAGTAAGAGTTTGTCTGGGAAGGTCAGGGAGCATCACTCGGGTGGATCACAGGATGAGGTGCTCAGCAGAATCCCAGAAGGCACCCAAGTTTTTCTCGTCAAAGAGATGAATGAACTGCTTTTTCATAGGTTAAAGCTGAGATGGCTAAAATAGAACAGGAAAGAAGGTACATTTCATGCACAGTTGAGTAGCCTATTCTGGTGAATCAGAGACCCCAGGGTAGATCCCCAGGTCTTTTATAGAATCAATGAATCTCCGAAAAGTAGAGCTGGAAGGGGCCATGAAAGCCGTCGAGTCCAACCCCCACTCTTGCAGGGCCCCAGTTCACACCATCCCACTCAGGTGGCTGCCCAGTTTCTTTTTGAATGTCTCCAGTGTGGGAGAGCCCCCCACCTCTCCAGGCAGCTGGTCCCACTGGTGTATTGCTCTGACAGTGAGAGAGCTTTTCCTGATGTCCAGCCTGAATCTGAGTTGTCATAGCTTGACTTGATTATTCCATGTCCTACACCCTGGCAGCAACAAGAAGAGACTAGACCTTCCTCTTTGTGACAGCCTTTGAAATACTTCTAGAGTGATCTCATGTCCCCCCTCAGTCTTCTCTTCTCATGGCTGAACATGCCCGGTTCTCTCGATCTCTCCTCACAGGGCAGAGATTCCAAACCCTGGATCATTTTTGTTGCCCTCCTCTGCACCCTTTCTAATTTACCTGCCTCTTTCTTAAATCTTGGCACCCAGAATTGGACACAGTATTCCAGATGGGATTAGACTAGTGAGGGGTATAGGGGAACTACTACTTCTCGTGATTTGGAAGTAATACTTCTATTAATGCATCCCAAAATAGTATTTGCTCTTTTTTGCACCTGCATCGCATTGCTGGCTCATGTTTAGCCTCTTGTCCACAATTACTTCTAGGTCTTTCTCTTTCTCTTTCTCAGATCTGTTGAGCCACATATTCCCCATCTTGTATCGATGCCTTTGGTTTCTTCTTCCTCGGTGAGGACTTGGCTCTTGTCCTTATCGAATCTCATTCTGTTGCTTTCAGCCCAGTGTTCAAGTTTATGATGATTGCTTTGGAGCTTCATTCTGTCTTTGAGGGTGTTTGCTCTTCCATCCAGTTTTGTATTGTCTGCAGATCTGATTATCTTTCCTTGTACTTCCTCATCTAAATCATCAATAAAGATGTTGAAGAGCACTGGGCCCAGGACTGAACCCTGTGGCACCCACTTTTTACCTCCCTCCAGTTTGAGAAGGTCCCATTGATGGGCACTCTTTGTGACTGATTTAGCAGCCAATTTTGGATCCACCTAATAGTTTTTCCATCTTGTCCAATTTTTGCTAATTTCCTTATCAGAATGTCATGTAGCACTATGTCAAAAATGCTGCTAAAATCTAGGTAGATTATGTCCACAGTGTTCCCTTTGTCCATTTGGGAGCTTACCCAGTCAAAAAAATGAGATTAAATTAGTCTGGCAGGATTTATTTTTGATAAATCCAAGTTGGCTTCTATTAATCGCTGCATTTTCTTCAAGATGCTTGGACATGGATTTTTTAATAATTTGCTCCCAAATTTTTTCAAGGGATTGATGCCAGACTAAATGGCCTGTAGTTCCCACTTACATCTTTTCTGGGGGGAAAAGACAATGTTGGCCCTTCAGTAGGGTCCTTCCCAGCAGAGGGTTCCTGGGGCGACCACCAGAAAGGCCTGGTGTGGCAGGTCCTCTTTCCTTCCTCAGCAGATTATTTCCAGGAAGGAACGAGATGGAGCAGTGTCAGGAAATCAACGGAGCATCACAAACAGGAAAGAGTATTGTTCGAGGCCAGGAGGTTGCAGGGAAAGGCCTCATCCAGCAGCATTCATAGCCTTCCCTTCAGAAACCCTTAAGTCTGTTCCATCCCTGAGCTGGATCCAGGTTCCGCCAGAGGGATACAGCTTCCTCGGGAGCAACCGTACCTTTAATATGTTGCTTTTGCCATTTGAAAGATGTCAGTGTGGGGGATCTGTGTGTGCTGTTCAGACTGAAAGGACTAATTTCTCCACTAAGGCCGAGAAAAACATAGAAACAGAGCGAGTCAGAAGGGTCTCCCGGGCCATCTAGTCTGACCCCCGACTCCAGCCGGCTCCGCTCACGACATGCCCACCATGTGCATGTCCAGCCTATCCTTGAACACCCTCACCAGTGGGGCCTCAACCACCTCCCGGGGAAGCCCACTCCACACCCTTGGGGTCCTGACTGTCAGGAAGTGCTTCCTGGCATCTAAATTGAACCTTGGTTCCCTGAGCTTTGCTCTGTTGGAGCGCGTCCTGCCTTCCTCTGCAGGGGAGAACAGGTCTCTCCCCACCTCCGTGTGACACCCCCTCACACACCTGTATGTCGCCAACATACCCTTTGAGTCTCCTCCAGGCTGAAGAGGCCCAGTTCCCTCAGTCTCACCTCATACGGCATCCCCTGCAAACCAGCCACCAACCTTGTGGCCCTACGCTGCACTGACTCCAACCTGGCTATATCCTTCCTGTAACAAGGAACTCCTGAAACCCCTTCCAAGAATGGCTCTAGGTTTCCTCCAGGGCCACCCTAAGAGGCCGCCAATGCTCCCTGGAGGAAGGCGAAGTGACGAGCTTAGCAACTGTCCAACGCCGCTGTTTTTGCTCCTTCAGCTCAATAGAAATCTTTCCCCTTTGCTCAGTGTCTTAATATTTCAGTCAGGCTCCTCACGGTGGCTGTGAAGGCTTTAAAAAGACAATCATACGAAATGCAATAAATTGCATACGGCGATCAAAGGCTGCTTTGCTTCTCTGTGGCAGCTGCTACTGCATCAGCAGGGGACCCAGAAACACTCCAGCAGCTGGGCCAGATCTTGGCTGCACCTGGAGGCACTGTGACGATCCACTGCAACCTGACAAAAAGTTATGTGATCTGGTACAAGCTGGACCAGGACCAAAACCTGTGCAAGGTTTCACTCGAAGGAAGGTCTTCCAAAGTGCAGGGCAGTCTGATCCTCCACAACCTGCAGCAGAACGACTCTGGAGAGTATTTCTGTGCTGCACTCATTGCCCAGAAATTCAGGATCCTGCATGGGACTCGGCTTCTCGTGTCTGGTGAGTGGCCTGAGAATGGCTTTTGGCGTGGCTCAGTGAGGCAGGGCAAACGCAAAACTGAAGCCTCATCTCATCCTATGTAATGGCAGAATAAAGCTCAGAACCAAGAACGGATCCAATATAATGTATATATAGAAAAAGAAAAAGCAGAGGGAAGACGGCACTCTGCATAGCCCGACCAGCCAATCCTTTGGAAGTCTTTTAAAAGAGGACACTTTTCTGTTTCCTCTGTGTATGTTCCCAGGATGAGTGCAAACGGCCTGATCCTGGCGCTGGCTAACCATGCTAGCATCCTTGCTGGCTCCTTTGCAGGGTCTTGTTCTGTCTGGTTTTAGTTTCAGGGCCTTAAAAAGTCGCATGCGTGCTGAGGAGAATGGGTACTTCTGGCTTCGTTTTAGTGACTCTGTCCCTCCCCTCACTTTGGGAACGTTCAGACTTTGCAACCAAATATTGATTTCTGCTCTGGACAAAGGTGTTTGTCTTGATCACACTGTGCTCATGTCCCACAGTGATCCCGCGCGACTTGCTGGGCCTCACACAAAGCCGAGTCCGTGTTGCTCCGGACAGAGCCAGGGGGATGGGTGGGTTGCAGGTCTGCCGAAGGATTCGCGGTGACCCTCCCAATGCTCTTCCAGGAGCTTCTCGCCCGCATCTCTCCACCCTCCTGCCTTCGCCCTCGGAGGGGGCTCGGCCCAACGGCAGCATCTCCATGCTCTGCATCGCCTCCGGTGCCGATCCGGCTCAGAATGAGACTTTTTGGAACACAGGCTGGAAGGATGTGCCCATGACAGATGGCAGTTTCAAACTGATTCCTTCAGGGAGGTGGACCCAGGCCGTGCCTTTGGATTGTTCCGACCGGGGAGAGAGGAACACGAGACAGACAGGTCAGCGGGCTGGAGATGTGTCCCTCTCCCCACATTAAACCTGGCCGAATGAGAGGCGCCCCTAAGCTGGGCAGAGAGGGTGGGGCGGGGAGACCCCTGGGCTCCTGCAGTCGGCCAGCCGCACCCAGAAGCAGGGCACCCCCGTGGGGGCTTTCAGCCCCATCAGCCCCTTGCGCCTGCCATGACGTCGCCGGCCTCGCAGCGTCCTCTCGGCCCAGCGCCAAACGGGCCCTCTGCTGGGCTGCTGACCAATGTCCCTCTTCCCCTTGCACCCTTGACAGGGGGCTGCTTCCGGGTGCTGTATGTTGGGGTGCCCTTCCTCGCCCTCCTCCTCCTGGGGCAAGCCCTGGCCCTGCTGCTCAGGAAGCGTCTCTCTGGAGGTGAGCTTTCTGTCCAAGTTGTCTTTCACCCAGTCCCTGTCCAGGGAGTGAAGCCGCTCAGCCCCTGGTCTCGTCTTGCTTTTGTTCTCACAGGGAATCTGGGGAAACCGGCCACTGGAAGATGCGTGAGGGAGATTCCCGAGGTAAGGGGATGCCGCATGGGGGTCTTCCAGAAAGTTCTGCCCTGCCTTGTTCTGTAGGCCGCCTTGGAGAAGCCCATCCTCCCTCCAGCCAAACGGTTCCAAACTCTGGATGCCCTTGCAGGGGCTTGGGAGCAGTTCAGCTCAGGGTTCAAAAGGGCCCAGCACAGAATCCAAACAGTGCAAACCAGCCACACCACGCAACTGCTGGCAACTCTCATCGATGCTGCCTTTGCTTGAAGCAACAGAAAAAATGCAGCGAACGGGATGCAGACTTCTCAGTAGGTTGGGAAGCTGAACCATGAGGGCAGGGCCCTTGGTGCTTTTGGGCTGGAAAGCCCCTCAGTTCCCAGCAGGCAGCAGCGCCCATGCCTGGTGGCCAGGGTCAGGCAGAGCAGGCGGCCTCTCTTCCTGCCCCCACGTGCGTAGGGCGGGCCTGAGCTGTTTCCTTTCTCTGTTGCAGACGGAGTATGCAGAGCTCCCTTGCAGGAAATGAAAAGCGCCTGAAAGCTCTGCAGAAGGAAAGGCACAGAGAAGGAGAGCAAATGCCCGAGGAAGAGCTTTTCACTGCCCAAATGTGGAGGCTTGCAGTAAACCTGACTTTTCCTAGGTGGACCTGCCCCATGTCCTCGCTCTCGCGCGTCCGCCAGTGGCCGCACTGAACCCACCCAGGTCCTGCGTGGGGGGCGGAGGCGGGGGGGGGGCAGGCAGCAGCCTCTCTCTGGGGAGCCCTTGTTGATCGCAGGAACCGTCAGGCCAGGTGGCGGCACGGTGCTTGGATCCTCAGCCTGCCGTTCTCTCCCCCCCCCCCCCCCCCCCGCCAGCTCTTGGAGGAAATTCCTGCGGCGCAAAGCAAATGCCTTCCTGTTTTTTGCAAGGGGAGGGAAATGAGCTCACCGGTTGGCTTTCTTCTGGCTGGACAGACCCTGGCAGGGTGGGGGAAGGGGAGCCCAGCAGCCCCGTTCGCAAGGGAAGCTGCGGTGCTGCTAGAAGGTGTCTCTGGGGCCCGGCTGGACGGAAGGCAGGAGTGGCGGGATGCGGAATGTTGCATCTCCGGTGGAATTTTGGCTCTGCGCAGTGAGAGCATCTGCACACAAGTCATGAGAGGGCTTTGAGCTGCAGAAAAATCAAATGTGGGCAGGCGCCAGCTGGGTGGGAAGCAGGCATTGATTTCTTAAGTGGCCTGAAGAAAAGCAGGACGTGTCGGCACCTGCAGGAAGGCAACCCGGGCAGAGAGACCCCTGCTGGGCCGGCTGGCGCCCCGACCCTCCCTCTGTGCAGCGGGCTTCCTCCCCCATGCGTGGGCTTGGGCGGCTCTTGGCCCACAGCCTGTGTGCGGGTGGTGGCTGGGCGAGGGGTCGTGGAGAGCCCCCCGGCAGGAGACACCTCCTCAGAAGGAAGCCTCCCCCAGCAAGCAGCGCCAGAGGGAGCCCGTGTCCCTCCTGGGCGCAAGCTCAGCGGCCAGGCGCTGCATTTGCCAGTCTGCCTTCGCCGGCTGCCCCAGGGAGCGAGGGCTTTGGAGATGGGGGGTGCGCCCAAGCCCTGCCAGCGTTTCGGGCACCGTGGGGCACCTCCGCGGTGGGGCTCAGAGCCAGTCCTGCGTGCCCACTGGGCTGAGCATGGCGGCGGCTGTCCCGGCTGATCCTGGGGTGAAGGCACGCTTTCTGCGGCCTGGGGGGCTCTTGACTGGGCACTAAGCCCCCTGCATCAGATCACCCCTCCCAGCCACGAAACTCCCTGGGTGACTTTGGGCCAGTCATGGACTCTCAGCCTGACCTACCCCACAAGGTTGTTGTAAAATGGAGAGGAGGAGGAGGAGCATCTTGCAAGCTGCTTGGGTTCCTTGGCTTCCTTTTGCGAAGAAGCCGGGCAGCTGAGGCAGCGCCAGCCATTCTATGAACCACTTCCAGGCGCTCTGCTCAAAAAGGAGCTTCGCTGGGGCAGGAGCCCACATGTACCAGCGTCTTTGCCCGCGTTCGTAGAAGAGATTGTATTTCCCCCTCCACAGAGGCAGATGCCCAAGGCTGCTCGCTACCCGGACGTGCACTGAGCCAGCGCTTGCGGTCTTCCAGCCAGCCCCTCTAGGACAGCTGCCCCGGCACCGGCCGGGCGGGAACTGGACGGCGGCCCTCCTCTGGCCAGACGTGGAGCCGCCTGCAGATCAGGACCGCGGAGAGCTCCTCGCTCTACCGGCTGGCAGATCTGGCCGGGCCGGGCCGGGCGGGCGCTGCTGGAGGAGCAGGCGAAAAGGGCCGTGCCGGGCCAGGGCTGGCCTGGGGGAAGCCAAATGCCAGGAGGCGCCGGAAGGGCTCGGCTTTGCCTCCTGGGCTCTGGGCCTGGCCTTCCTGTGGCCGCTGGCTTGCCCCAGTGAGATGCAAGATGGCGCTTGCCGGGCTGCCGCAGGCGTGTCGCTCGCTGCAATGAGTGCAAGCCGCATGCTGGGGGAGAAAGGGCCAAGAGCAGCCCTCTGCACGCGGGCAGGGCCAGGCGGCTGGGTCAGCAGCAAAGCTGGGCTCACGTGCTTTGCCCGCTGCACTTTGGCTTCCCCGTCCCAGCGCTCTCTGGCTTTTTCAATGGGAGCCTCCTCTTGTGCTGTTCTGGTGCCCCTGGCGATGCCTCTCCTCACTCGAGCCCTGGGAAGCGAAGGCGTGAGCAGGCGCTGTGGGAAGACTGTGGCACATGGGGTGCCCGCCACGTGCTGGAAATGTATCCATCCTGGGCATCGCTAGCTGAGGCAGCTCTCGGCAGCGGGAGTGAGAGGAGGAAGGCAGCTGGGCCCAGACCTGCCCATGACCTGACGCAACAGGAGGCCACACCTGGCAGGGCAGAAAGTCAGCGGGCCCATTTTGCAGATCCGGAGAGGAAACCGGCAGCTTGCGACTGAGACCGGCAGTGTCCACCTCTGCAGGCTCAGGCGACCGCAGGCTCCTCGGAGGCCTGCAGCTGACGCCACTGCTGCGGCAGACTTGGTAAACAGCAAACTTCCTCCTCACTCAGCCTTTCTACTCTTTGGGTTTGGGTTGTATTGTCCTTCCCACCCCTTTTTCCTGTAAATTTGCCACAACAGGAAGCTTTTTGAAAGCTTCTGCCACTTGCTTGCGTACTTGCAAAACCTCAGGTGCACACGTCTTCTCCGCTCTACCAGCCATACCACAAACTGGTCTTCCGAAAACTGCCCTGGGGGCAGGGGAGTTGTGTTCATGTCCCCACAAGCACACCAATCCTGCTGGCCCCACCGAATGCAGGGCAGGAGGGGTGCGTGGGCACCATGGAGGGGCTCCGAGCGATCCAGATTTAGGGCTGAGCAGCAGCCTCTGCTGTTTCCAGGCCTTTCGTTTTCTGAGTGAGTCCTCCTTCTCTTTGTCAGCTGCTCCGGCTCCCTCCCTGAGCTCAGCCACTGCATGAAGCCGCTCTCACCGTTCCGACTTCTCCATCCAGTCAGGAGACCTTTCCCACACATGCTCCCTGGGGGTTTCCTGTTTTCCACCTCTTTCTAGCCTCTGTTATTCTGCCCCAACACCTAATCTGTGGTGGCTTTGGAAGGCTTCAGCTCGCCCTCTGCCGCCTTGCTCACTTCCCCTGCCATTTTTGGTCATGAAATCAACTTTGTGTGTGCTTTGCTCACCGATTTCTTTGAATTCTTTTTTTTTAACGGTGCATTTATATGCTGCTTCTGTTCTTTGCGTAAAAGCTCAGTGGTCATGTTCTTGTTGTCGGGTAATGTATTCTCAAAGAAGGGATCCAACATGGTGGGCCTGTCGCGAGTGGAGCTGGCTGGAGCTGGGGTCAGACTAGATGGCCCGGGAGGCCCCTTCTGACTCGCTCTGTTTCTATGTTTCTGTGCCCTCCCTCACACAAAATTTAACTCTGGAACTCACTGCCACAAGATATCATGACGGCCACCACTTTGGGTGACTTTAAAAGGGGAACGGACACATTTATGGGGAGAAAGTTAGCAGTGGCCGTTTGTGCTCAGGGCCACCTGTGTGTCAGATGACACATGCCTGGGTCCGCTCACCCTCGCTGCCAGGGGCGGGTGGGGGGGGGGAGATGCATTTGTGGTTCTCCCCAGACCACACGTTGATCACTGTGTGAACAAACTGCAGGCGAACCTTTGGCCTTATCCAAGATGGCTTGTTTTGTGCTCTCGTCTGTCTCGTATTTTTTCTGAAACCTGCACAGGGTCTGCCTCCTGGATAAACCCACCTGCTTGTGTCATTTTTATTGGGCTATTTTTCATTCCAGGTAACTAGACCTACATTTCTTCTCCCCCCCCCCCCCCCCCCCGCCCACAGTGGGCTTCCTTTGATTTGCAAGTTGTCATCTTTTGGGAATGGGAAATTTCAACTTCTTTTCTCTGATCCTGAACCTGAATGCTCAAACCTGCTTGCAGTCCCAGGGCTCCAGTGGAAGGCCTCCCGCCGACCATTCTTCCCTGGCATTCTTCCCATTTTTAGCCCTGCAGTCACATCCTTTCTCCTGGACCACAAGTTTCCCGCGCCAGTTTCTGCCTCCCTTCCTCACCTGTGCCTTTGAAAAGCAAACTTGAGGGTTTCCTCCAGGGCTGGAAAGGCCGTGGAATGGAACTCCTACAGGAACAGCAATCTTTACATTTTCGTCGTTTATTTCTAGACCTCTCTGGGCAGGTCATAACAATCCATAAAACACAGTACGATAAAAATGTTAAAGTAATGCAATGTACGTTGTTTTTTTAATTAGCAGCACTTTTGGTACAACGGATCTGTTAAAACCATGCAATTCAGTCCCGTCGTGGTCAGAACAGACCCACTCACTCAATGGATTCCAGGTTTCAGTGCCCGGGTGCCTTGCTTGCTCCCTTCACGCAGATGTGGGGGCCTGGAGGGGGGGGTCATAGCGCCATGCAAGCCTCCTCCGGAAGCCTCCTTTGTGTCCAGTTTGGCACAGTGGAGGGTTTATCCTTTGCACAGCAAAGCCCAGGGCTTCAGCCAGCGCCCGAGCCCCGTGCTGGCGGCAGGAAGGACCCCTTGCGGCCGGCGGGGCTCTCTGCACCGGCACAGGAGCTGCTGCCCCTCGCCCATCTCCTGCACGTGCCCTGCCCTGACCTTCACCCCTAGGATGGCCCCGGAGGCGTCCAGCCCCTCTTGGGCAGCTTCAAACGATCAAGGTAGCTGCAGTGTGCCTGTTTTCACAGAGTCCGCTGACCCTCTGTCGATCAGTGCGTAAATGAAGAGGCAGCCTTGAGCCAGACGGGAGCAAGGGAGCGCTTTCGTCCAGGGGTTTTGCTTGTGCCCTTTGACCTGTTTTCATTTTTGAGTGTTACTCATCCTCTCTGAGTATGCGTCTGCTTCGCTTTCTGCGTTGCCGTTCCGTTTCAGAAAAATTGAACGGTTATGACCTGACCATCACATTTGGCATTTTTCTGTTGTTTTTGCTTTCTGGGAGCCTTCTTTTTACTTCTCTTTACTCTTCCATATGGACCTCCTACATGATTAATGTTTTCATTTTGATTTTTCCCTCTGTTTGACACTACTCATTCAAGTGTTTTAACACAGTCTGTTGTTGCTTAGTCGCAAAGTCGTGCCCAACCCTGTTCCATAGTTTATCCCTTACAAATTCATTTCATTTACTTTCTATTCAGCTATTTTGTTTTATACTTATTTATCTGTATATCGTTCTTCATAAAGATTTAGCCTACGGCAGTTTAGAAGATAAATTTATTTATTTATTTATTTAAAAGTTTCTATGCCGCCCCATTCGCCGAAGCCTCGGGGCGGCTTACAAAACATCAGTTAAAATATAAAACACTAAAAATATAAAACACATTAACATTATAAAATAAGTCGCCCTGGCCGTCATTTTGAATGACTTCAAGTCGTTTTGAAGTCAAAACCATGTGAAAATGTTTAATAAGGATTGCAATCTTATATATGTTGAGATGGGGGGAAAGTCCTACAATTCATTCATTAATTCATTAGATTTATAGCCCACTTTTCTTAGAATGAACTCAAAGCAGCTTACATCATTCTCTTCCTGCTGCTCTCCAGCTTATCCCCATAACAACAGCCCTGTAAGGTAGGCAGGGCTGAGAGTTTGCAACTAGCCCAAAGTCACCCAGTTGGCTCTCCATGGCTGACCCGAGTCCCAGCCCTGCACTCTTAACCCCTATGCTCTCCCTCAGTTAAAATAAATATAGATATTTATTCATAATTGCTTAATGCATAGGCCTGCCCAAAGAATAAACCATAAGGATGGATTAGGTGCAAACATGTGTTTTTAAAGAGATTGCCCATAAATCATGTGATTTATAGCCTGGAGACAGTCCTTGGTAGATGGAGTTGTGCAGGGATTGTTCAGGGTGCAATCCTATGTATGTTTAGACAGAAAAGAATCCTGCCATTTTCAGCATTTTCCCTGTCTGACTGTGTGCAGAATCACGCCTTTAACTGCCAGATTTATAGGCATGGAAAGAATATGAGGATACCTGTGAAGTACATCTCAAATATATAATGACATATTTGGAAACACGTACTGTAAATCTCTGTATTGCTGCTAGGTTTTGTTTTAATTCTTATATATACCGTAGTTTTAAACCTTTATATTCTACGATAATGCATTGCATTTTATGCTTTTAAGGGCTGCGACCTACCCAAAGAGCTTGGGTTACTGGCTATTCTAGAAATGCAGACGCAGGGAAGGAATGTTCGGTTGCTTATTTCTGCAAATAAAATAAGGCCGGTCATGGACCATTGATTCTCTGGAATAGATAAAACCGATGGACAGCTTACAGGCAGGGAAAAGACGGACACCGGCGCGCCCGGACCCGCTCTGCCCCCCTGCCCAGGAATGGGGAGGGGGGCTCGTTGAACCAAAAAAGGACTACCCCGCCCAGCACGGCCGCCCGCCCGCTGGGACTCGTGGTCCATCCTCCTGCCCAAACACGCCCGCTCGGGACCTCTGCGCGGCGCCAGGGCGCGTTTCCCAGCCCCGCCGCGCCGCGCTTTCCAACCCCTGCCGCGCTTTGCGCGCCGTGGCGACGCAGCGGCCGCCAGGCGGAGGCGGCGCTGCGCCCGAGCGCCCCCAAGGCCGCCCCCCGCCCC